CCTAGTTAGCCAGCTCTTGTAGAAAAAAAGCAGAGGTGTACCGTCTAGAACACTCCAGATAAGGCACTCTTTGTCCCAAGCGAGAGCCAAAGAATGACTGAGGGTATCGGGCGAGAGACCAAACATTGGCAGCGAGAGAGTATGCAACCGTGCGAGACGCTAAACAAGACATCTATCAACGCGGGCGGAGTTCCTTGAGCAACCTAGCGCTTTGACGCCGCTAACCCAGAACTTTCTGACGCGAAACTTGTTCAAAGTTGCCCACTGCTACCCGCATGCCTTTCCCTTCTGAAGAGTTCGATTTCTAAAAGCGATCAAGTCCGCGCCCTTCATGGCGAGAAGGCATACTGTGCTTGGCAGTCTCTGATTTGTCGACAGCTACAATAACTGCGCTACAGTAAACCCGCAAAATGGTTTCAGATCGTTTCTATCGCTATATTTCAGGTATCGGCGATCGATTCCGGTGACGGTTCAACGGATGCACTTCGAAGCTTCTCGAAGACATCTGTATTATTCGTATCGATCTCATTTATTATTTTGATGGTCATATCACTAGCTTGGCTCGTTTTCTATTATGTGCAACGATTTCGCTATGCTCATGCCAAGGATCGATTGCAGCGGAGGTAAGCGAGCTTGTCTGACGTCTGAGTGCCACCCCCTAACACCTCAATTTCTCCTCCGGTACGTCCAATCTACAAATCATGTTACTGAATGTTGGAAAGAAAATATGCCGCGAACGGGTACGGGGAGACTTACAATCAGCTACCTGGAATAGCAGTCGGCGCAGTTCGGCGACGGGGGGGGGGTCTTTTGGACTTTAGCTGCTTCACGACTTCCTTTTACATGTCTCACTCTGGTGAAACTCCCTGAAGCTGGAGCAAGCTGGGTGAGCCACCGTGGTAAAACCTGTAAGCCCACGAAATCGCTCTAGATGGGTCGATGGGAATCAGCAAGAGTGCAAAATGTCCCCCCCCCTCCTCACCGAACTGTCCTTAGTAGTCCTGCGGTACTGCTGTCTATGCAATCGGAGAAATCTTACGGGGCTAAATAGGATCCTTCTCTTCTCCATCGCCAGAATACGACGTTAGTTTGGAGTCGCTAACGTCCGACATGGACCTCCGGGAACCATTACATTGGGCTGGACGATTGCCAGTTAGTAGTATAAAAATTTCACCAGGATTTTGATCATTTTTAATGCTTCCATTGTGTCCACTTCACTCTCACCAAGTGTGAATGCAATAGATTGGAAGCGGCTACCACTAACAAATACTTATTCGTTCACTTCCTCCTC